CTGCTTACTCAAGCTCTCAGCTTACATAGAAACATTTGTGAGAAATGTTCCACCCCGTTACTGTAGGTCATTGCTTCAATCCCAAGTTGTGTTTTATGACTGGCCTCTTGCTACAGGAAATGGTCCTTCACATAATTCCCCCCGTAATAATTGCCCAAAACTGAGCTAACACAGAAAACTCTGAACTCTTTTTATAAAAGTTCCCACCTGCTGTCCTTGTCTGTGTTATCATTGATGAGGGGGAGCCAGTGGCTGGTGACCTTTGGAAAACAAAAATAGATAAAAACTGTAAAAGATCATCACCATTATGATGGACAAATTCATGAGTGACACATGAGTCAACAGCTTCACAAATGTTACTGTTAACCGTAATACAAACCAATTATTGAAATGCTAGCAGCCACAGAGGTAGCTCACCTTTTCGATGGAAGTCTTGTTGTTGACAGAGTAGACAATGCAAATTACATTTGCCTATGAGAGAGATCAACACAGACACCCATTAGGCTTAGAACTGAATCAGCACTTCTCTCCAGGCTAACAGGAAAGCATAATGTGTGGACTGACCTTGGAGATCTCCTGAAACAACTGCTCATCCGTCTGCTCTGCCTCTGTAGAAGGAAGACATGTGCAGTGTGAAGTAAAGTATTATTTAGGCTTAAAAAGGTGACTAAAGGAGTTTGTATATTTATGATTTCACAACAAAGGTCACCACAATTTAATGAAGTGTCTGGGGCAGTTCATCTCTACTACTGTACCTGAATAGTCCACAATATGTGTAGGAACTCTCTCTGGTGTGACATCTGCAGGTATGGTGATTTCCTCAGCTCGGTAAGGAACCTAGGGTAAAAGCAAAATAGTGATCACTTACACAGACATCTTTATAACCAGGTAAAAGGCTTTAACTAGTAGCAACAATAAGACTTTCACAAATTACAGCCAGACCTTGTAGTGTTAAGAAAGTCACCATGCGATTAAGTTTCATTAACATCTGGCCAGTAGTTTTTAAAGTAATCATGCTGAGAAAAAACAAAATGAACCAGATAATCAGGTAAAATTAATGGTGTTAAACTCAACCCAAGGGAATTATTGATTAAGTTCAAGGTGGAGAGGCATCTTCAAGGATATACAAAATCTGATAATAATGTATACATACCACAGTTGGGAATTCCTCGCTGACCAGGGACATAATGAGAGACGTCTTCCCCACTTTGGCTGTCAAGGGAAGAAGAAAAGAGTTACTCAACAAGCTTTCTGGGCCATGTGACTCAGACACAGAAGGCCTCATTGTGGAAATCACAAACACCACAGGGCAATTGTTTATGGATGTAAACATGATTTGCAGCTTTCATGCTGGATTTGTTTCAAAAAGACTTAACCTTTAATACAATGAAAACAATATTTCTAACAGCACAATTCCCAAAATAGCTGGGCTTCCTGTGAAAAAAAATACCCACAGAGGGAAGGAGGAAATATGGAAAATATAATTCACTCTCTGATGTTGACTTCCACTTAAAACCATGATATTTAATGAATTAAATACCTAGACAAAAAACTATTTTACACAGCACACATTACCAAGCTAGATTTTCTAAGTTATTTCTTACACTTGTAAAATATGATTTGTTTCTTAAGCTTTGCTATTAAAAAAGAGAAGTATCTCTACATAAACCATATGATTTCAAAGTTATATTTAATAAAACAATGGACAGTCAGCTTGCAATAGTAAAGCATAGGTCAAAATATAAAGTCAGCAAGCTGTGTTTAGCTTAGCTGGCAGTTAGCTGTGTAATGGGGAGAAAAACTACTATTGTTTTTAAAAAGCTTTATCAATGGAGGGTTTTCTACGAGTGTCCTGGATATGACATGCAGCAATACCACTAAATTACATACAAGTTAAAGCAAAACAGCACACAACATCAGTATGATCATGATGGTTTGTGTCAGTCAGCAGCATCACAAGTCCAGCTGGTAGCATCAGGGCAAAGTCACTACTGAAGGCTGACGCTGCAGACCACAGATTAACACACTGTGATGTGAATGTATGCTTTACTTACGCTCTCCCACCAACAATATCCTCACGTCCTTGCGCATCTTGTTCAGCGTCGGTAAACTGTCTTGTATGAAACATCTATGCTCCCGTCTCGATGAAGGATACAATCAGCCGGGCTCTCGTCGGCCTGGCTCGCTTGCTAACGGAGCTACGTTTGCATGACAGCTCCGGTTTACGCTGGTTCAGAAAAACACGGTGCACCGTAACGTGATGAATATGTGCAAACCAGTAGCTCTCTGAGTTACTAACAAGGTGTTTTTACTATATCCCCTCTGCTAGGACCAGTAAGCCATGCAGCTGCGGTCTTCAGCCAGCTAATCTTTAAACAAGTTACGAGTGCTAGCAGTGCATTCACTAACGCCCCTTCTGGCTGCGAGCAAAGATCGTATATTGAGAAATGATCACCTAAAGCCCGCCCATCCACTCGGTACGCAAGAGAGAATATTATTGCAGTGAGTTAGTCAGAAAGGGGGTATGGAAGCCCATTCATGTTAATACAAAAATATGGTCAAAAAATAAAAAACACATACTGTAAGTGATAATAAAAATAAACTTCAAAAAATCTAAACAATAACAAACCTTCATTACAGAAAAAACATTTCTGTGTAGGCTATATTTAAAAGAAGTATAAGATATACACCAATATATTATTCAATACAATTATTTTGAGGTAGGCCTGCTCATTAATTATTTTAAGTCATAACTACACAATGTATACATAATTTCTTTATCTGTAAAGAAACATGCAATTCCAGTTGTCAGATCATTCTAGCAAATTTACATTTATACATTTACTTCCAAAATGTTAGATCTGGCAATATAACATAACTTAAAAGTTATAAGAGTACATGCACTTAAGTTAGCTATTTCCCAACGCTGCTTGCTTAAAATACAGAGATCTCAATGTTTTTCAGACTTATCTCTTCGGTGGCTGGTTAACTATTTTTTATTTATTTATTTACATTTTTTGTCCCCTGAAAATGGCCTGGAGTGAGAGATCTTAATTCTTTCCACAGCTCGACAGCGCTTGTCAGCCAATAGTGGCCCCAGGCTATAACAACAATCGAAACCAGAAGTTTAGTACACATTTATTTAGACATTTGCAACATGTTAGCATAGTATAAACAGTTATAAGGCATTAAAACCAAATCTTGCACTTAGCTGGTATACCTTTCAATGAAATTATGGCATCCAGGTAGTTGTCCATGCATTAATACATTACTTATGAATATGATACATCCAGGGCCGCCTTAATGCACGGGCTGACCTGGGCTGAAGCCCAGGGGCCTACGGTGATCGGGGGCCTATCATGAGCCAATTAAAAAAAAAAAAAAAAAAAATTCAATTTTTTTATTTTTTTATTTCGGGTGTTTTAAAAAAAAAAGTTAAATAAACAAAGTCTTGGCTTTCAGAATATGAAACTTTCATTTCCAAAATCACACGATAAATACATTTTTGAAGCTTGTAAAGGGAAGACAACAGCTCTCCCTCGCCACTCTGCTGTTCCACAGCGCCGCCCCCCTCCCTCCACTGAAATTATTAATGTAAGACGTATAGTAATCATAGATAACACAGCAAGGTCCGTTACAGTTTGTCTTCATCTGATTTAAAAAAAACAAAGTCTTGGCTTTCAGAATATTAAACTTGTTTCGGCAAATTCAGATGATAAATACAACTTTGAAGTTTGTAACGGCATAATTACAAGCGGAGAACGGAGTAACTTGACGTCACAGCAGGCATAACAACAGCCGGTGTTTTCCCCGGGAAACAAACACAATACACACAAACGCAAATATACACAAACACACACACGTCAGAATGAGAATATGTTTCACATGTGACTTATTCAAATTGCGAGTGATTGAGTGAAGAAAAAGTTTGAGAGTGGCGCTCGGAAAAGGAAATTGTTGAGGGAAAAGGAGTTTCGAAACAAGCAGCTGTTACAAAAAATGCCGAAGCTTACAGGTTATTTTAAACCTGTAGGCCAGGATGAGGAGGAAGGACAGATGAGTTCTGTACCGAGCGGTAGCGTTGCCGGCCGCGGGGCCTCGGAGACAAGTAGGCCGTCTGGTTCTGATAGCGATGGAGTAGCGGGAGAGGAAAAACAGACAGGAGGGACATTATCTGTTGGAGGAGATGGAGAGGACGACGAGGACTTGCTACGTGGAGGGGAGCCAACGGCAACCGGACAAATACATGAGGGAGGCCCGATACGTCACTCATATGGAGGAGAGGACCAGGCGCGTGTAGAGCAGAGTAGAGAAGTGCGATCACAGAGCCTGCCGAGGCTATAAATGACTTTGATTTGATGTTTAAATAGGGGGCCTACAAAAACTATCAGCCCCAGGGCCTGATGGCAGGTTAAGGCGGGCTTGGATACATCATTAATGTACGGTGTTTATTTGTTGATGAATAACAAAAGAAACAACTGTTGCCCTCAAATTGGTGAACATTAAAAGCAGAATTACATTATTTATTCAATTTAATATAGTTTGAAGCTTTATTGACAGCTAAAATTAATATGTGTAAAAAAGACTTTTTCCTAATGTGCAAATTGAGTGAAATAAAAAAACATTTAAAAACTACAGAACAATTGCAAATTATACATAGGCCTACAATGTAAAACCTGTTTATTCTTCTCCCCATATATTCATTAATAAATATAATATTAGTTTTGAGTGCATTAATAATGTATTGAAAATACTTCTGTGATGTCAATGTGGCCACAGCAATGTAAGGAATTCGGGCTAATGATGTGCAGCAACATCCCAGCTGGCAGTAACTTCTCCAAGGTCTCCATGGTGTCATCAGACACCGTATAGTCTGTACAAAATGTTGGAGCTGGTCATTTATTTGTCAGTGGTGTTAACCAATGTTGCCAGTAAATAAGAGAGTCTTTCACATCGTCAGGTTTAGGAGTATATTTTGGAACTAGATGCTTTCAGTCTGTTAGGTCCCAATACAGTAATTAAGGATCCTAAACTCATGCAAACCAGCAAGTAGAGCTGATCAAGTCATTTTCCTCTCCTCATGTTGGCTTCATCTGCATCAAAGAGAGAAAGAAGAGAAGAGTTACGATTCACAGATGAAGAAACTTGAACACATCACCTGCGCTGCATCATCTGTAACAACACAGTATCTTACTAGCGTAGTCCTCTGGGGTCATGGGTTGGGAGATGATCTTTCTGAAGGCCTCCAGCCACTCCTTCTGCTCCTGATGCTGCTCACACATAAACACATACTGCCTGTCCGGAGTTTGCAACATGATGCCACAGTTCCACCGGCCGCCCCTCGAACTCCGCCCGATGCTCTCTGAAGCAGAGTAGCTGTGGCTCTCCGTGCCGATGAAGACAGCACCCAGCTCTGTTGCATCCTAACGGGGAAAAGCAAAAAGAAGAGCATAATAGGCTACCATCTCCAAAATTACGCAATTTATAACAGATTATTGAATACAAGTATAGATATGTATAAATGACATGTATATTTAATTAAATATTTTGTATGGAGGAACTTTATACAAACGTTGTGACACATGTGGTATTATCTGTTAATTACTAGGGGATTTTTAGAATACAGAAGTTTCCTGTTCATGGAGCACAGTGTGAACCACCTCTTCTTGAATGGCTCCCGATGCTAAAAAAACACGAACAAGAACAAACAGACACACAGACAAATTAGATATAGGCACAGAGAGAGAGAGAGTGAGAGAGGGGGTGAACTCAAATGTCAGACATAACAAATGTAAATAATCTTTGTAATCAATTCAGATAGTTGACAAACCGTCGGCCCAGTTTTCTCCATGTACCCCTCCTTCAGGCAATATCTTGTTAACTGGGGTATTAACTGTGAAAGAGACACAGGCAACACCGATAACTGAACAAAAGTTGCAGTTCAACACAATTTATCTGAGCTTAATTTCATTAAAAATCTTTCTCACATCATTATCTCGAAGAGTGGGGTGTTTCCTCTGCAGGTAGGCCAAGCGTGTTGCCCGAATAGCGTTGAACAAGGACACAATCACCTATAAGGCATGGGAGAGTTTAATATAATTTAGGTTAAAAAAAAGAAAAATCTTTAGCTGAACAGCTGTATTCAACCAAACAAACAGTATAACACAGCTGCAATTTAACATATGGCAGGAAAATGCTTTAGTAGCTATTAGAACAAGATATAATTTCCACAATGATGATGTGACTCCTCTGTGACTGCAGGCCTCTTTGATAACCGATGCCTAAATGAGAATTATAGACCAGAACTATTTAAAAATGGTTTCATGTAGAAATTAATTGCTTCAGAGAGCTAATATTGGTCCATACACTAGTAATTAACCAGTAAACAAAGAGGATTAAGGTGTACATTTTTTAAATCTATTTTGAAAAAAATGTCATTACAAAATATGAATCATATAATTAAAATGGGTATTTTGTAATCAATCAATCAATGTTTATTTATATACATTTATTTAAATTGATATAAATTGAATTATAGCATAGAAATACTTTTTTTAATTAAAAAACTTAATTTAACATTTGGATCTGATTTGTTTCCATACTGTGGCATTATAATTCTATTTTTGTTTTTGTTTAACCTTATATATTACATTTGCCAAAATAAAATTGACAAAGATGTCAGTCAAAGCATATTACTCAAAGCTTTTAGTAAAAAGTTGGACAAGAACACATTTTGGAGACTATATAAAGTCCCTTATCAATTATGCAGAAGGCAGGTTGGGTCCCACCAGGCACTATATCTAATGTCCCGAAGTTGTGTTTGAATAAACAGAGTGCAAATCATACCATTAAAGAGAAGGGGTATTCAGCACAGGTGAGAATATTTTCTCCCCTGGGATAAGAATCAGTAGTTTGGGGAAATGGGTCAGAGAGACCTGTGAAGGATTTTAAGGGATTCATCTCTAATACTACCTCCCGGCNTTTTAATGTTCACCAATTTGAGGGCAACAGTTGTTTCTTTTGTTATTCATCAACAAATAAACACCGTACATTAATGATGTATCATATTCATAAGTAATGTATTAATGCATGGACAACTACCTGGATGCCATAATTTCATTGAAAGGTATACCANAGCCGGGAGGTAGTATTAGAGATGAATCCCTTAAAATCCTTCACAGGTCTCTCTGACCCATTTCCCCAAACTACTGATTCTTATCCCAGGGGAGAAAATTATTTTCTCCCCTGGGATAAGAATCAGTAGTTTGGGGAAATGGGTCAGAGAGACCTGTGAAGGATTTTAAGGGATTCATCTCTAATACTACCTCCCGGCTCTCTTTGCCTCATTCACAGAGTAAAGTCTGACATTGAGGTTATCTACTTTAATAGACCCTCTAATGGAATTGACTCTAGACCTTTCTTTAACCTTGTCACTGCACACTTGACTGTGTCATTAGTAGACGCTCAGAACAACAGACGTCTATGAAGAGTGCAGAAGAACGCTTTGGCATGGATGGGTCAAAGAAACACAGTACTCTCATCCAGGAGACCACCATTTGTGAGACAAACACTGAGTAATTTCTCCTGACAATGTTTTATTTCCTGTGACGTCGTGTAAAGCTACTGCTGCCCGTGGCGTCATTATAGTATAGCTCAGTCGAATCGGACCAGACCAGTGTGTGAGTCAATCAATAAAATGTTTAACCTCAGACACTTTTGCCCACGAAACTAGGAGATGAATCCATTCATTGATGGATTGAACACTAACGGTACGTCCACACGGCAGCGTTGCGTGCTTCAACGGAGACGCTTCCCATTCACTTTGAATCGGGTGACGTCACGCTTCGCTGAACTGCATTGTGGTTCCGTTGCTTTGCTTTGCCTCCGTTGCTCGCTTCGAAAGTTGAGAAAAGTTCAACTTTTCAAGCGTCGACGGAAGCGCCAGCCAATCCAATCATATGCCGGTACAAGCGCTAGCCAATCAAACCGCATGCTTGTGTGTCCGGGACGGGAGATTAATGTGATTGGTTGTTGGTCGCGCACCAGACACGCCCACCGGCAAGCTTCAACGCGACGGAACCGTGTGGAGGTACTGTAGAGTTGGATTGTATCCCTGTGGAGTCTCGTCTCCCATGTTACTCTCTGCTTGACAAATTGAAAACGACTATAAACGATTATAGTTACCCATCACAGTTATGATTTGTATTTCAATGTTGTTTCCAAATAAAGCTTAATTCTATATAGTTTACATTAACAAGTATATCATCAAATGTTCCACATACATTTAATTCATTGGTATCATCTCGCCGAGGAAAAAGCCTTTGGGGAAATTATGTTTCTGGTTGTTAGGGTGTTTGTGTGTGTGTTCCGCTCATTCTTCATTCTAAGGGACACATCAATTCTTTGATGATCATGTGACACTTTCACGTTGATGAAAGAATAGAATCCTTGATCATCAAAGCCGAATGATGTAGGATTCTAGAACTTTAAAACCCTTTAAGTCTAGAACTAGAGACTCAAACTTCACTCAGAAAACAAATTGTTTCAGAGAAGACATGTACTCTCACAACTTAAACTGGAAAATGGAAATCATTGATTTCGACTCAACAGAGGTTGACCCTCCCATTAACTTCTACCTGAGTTACCTGGAAGAAGAAATCCAGAGTAAACTGCAGGACAGTGAAGCGAGGATCACCCCAGGAAAATCTGAGGGCAGAGTCCTTCTGGAAATACAAGAGGACTCACTGGCCAACTTCATTGATCTTCTAAGAGAAAGACAGGAAGTCACCAAATGCTACCCTGAGAAAGAAGAGATGCAGAAAGAGATTGGTGGCCTGAAGGCCCAGCTGGCTGAAAGCAGCAGTGTGCTAGAGCATCTGAAAACTCAGCTGTTAAAGATCTGCCCCATGCTTCGCCAAGCCCAGAAAGATGTCATGCAACTGACCTCCACAAACAAGGACCAGAAAGTTTCATTGGAGCACATGAAGGAAGAGAAAGAGGCCCTTCAGAATAAGCTTCAAGCTGAGAGACGCTTTCTGACAGTGTCAAAGACCAATGTGGAGGTGGACCTGGAGAGCTATCTCCAAATAGAGAGAGAGGAGAACAAGAACCTCCAAGTTGCCCTGGAAAAGGCAGAATGTGTCTCACAGATGCAGTGCCGCCGCTTGGAGCTGGAGAAAACCACTCTCCAGGAGCAGGCCGAAAAATCATCAGCCGCCCTTCTCCTTTGTCAGGAGGAAAAAGCATCCCTGCTGACAGAGTTCCAGCAAAGAAAAACCTCCAATGTGCCTCAGCTCAGTGAGATTTTGAGAAAAGCTGAGCAGAAGTTGGAGCTTGATCGCATCAAGTCGAAGGATGACAGGTCAACCCTCCTTCAGGCCACAAAAAGCCTCCAGAAGACTCTGCAGGAGAAGGAGCAGGAGTTGCAGAAAGCTGAGAGCGCCATGAAGTCGCAGGTCGAGGACGCTGAGAGCCAGATCCCCCAAAAGAGCGAGGGATGGTTCCCAAAGTTCTTCTAAATCCCGACCGGGCACATGTTGCTGATCTGGGTCTATAAGGCCCACTGAAACACCTTCAGCTTCAATAAATGCACATTTAAAATGTAATGTTTGTTTAGTATTTAAAATCCTATGTAGCACTAGAGTCTTGTGTGAAAATATTTATGAATCATGGGGAAAGCATTGAACTGAATATAGTTTGGCTTAACTGTTCTAATCTAGATTTTATGTTGATCAAAATATATATATTTTTTCTTAAGACTCAATAGCATATTGGTTTGTTAACTTTCACATTGCTTTAAGTATGTGAACAGTAATGCAATGCATTTGAGTGAAGATTTTGTATGCGTGTTGTTGTATTAGTTGTTGTCGCACTTCAGCATCTTGAATACAAACTTTTTTTACTTTTCTTTCACCTTTTTGACTAACAAAACATGTCCTGGCAAATTGTTAACTTCACCTGATTCACAGATATCTTATTCTTTTAAGGAACTTACTGCTCACTGCAAAAACATGTTTTACCTTACCTCAAGTCCTAAACACATGGAACAAATCAATGAAGATCAGACTCAAAGGAAAGATCTATAGAAATAAAGGGCTTCCAAACACACCTGTCCTTTCTCGTGATAAACAAACAGATTCCTGGTGCGTTCCCCATGCACGTAGGATATCTGCAGACCGTGATTGTGACCAATCTTCTCTGGCTGAAAAACTGCATTCAGGTCCTTCATGGAGATGATAACTTTGGGTAGCTTGGACTTGTTTTTTTAATGAGAGGATAGAGGAAGGAATTCAAAGATTTAGAAACTACATTTATTTCGCTGTGTACACTCATAAAACTTTGCAGACTAAGTAATGATCTGGCAAAACTCACATCCTCTTTAATAAAGTATCGAAGGGTGAAGTCTTTCTGGGACAGCTGGAAGATCCTCTTTAAAAACTGCTTGTTGTCTTTGCCCTTTTTCCATAGAGTTGACTCAAACAGTTCTGCGTTAGATACATTACATAAAAAAAGAGATGAAGGGCAACTCAACTTTATATATAATCTTATATATAAAAAACAAAAAAGCATAATTCTGAATACTGATTGGAAGAATACAGTTATGTTAGTATAATGGCAGAATGATTACCTGAGCAATAAGCTTGCTTAAATAACTCGTTTTCTCCTGTGAATTCTCTTCTTTCATACTTTGCACGGATCCATTGATCCTTGAGAACCCTACAACGAAGCAATACACAGTTTAATGTTTCCTTATAGACAAAACAGAAGTGTTTAGGTAAATACCAGAAAAGTTTCTTTGATGAATGATTCTATTCATAGTCTGTAGTGAAGGCTCCACTTTGGTACCTAACTCTCAGTTCCTCTTTCTGTACCTCTCCACCCACATTCATTAGAAATACTTCACTTTTTACTTCCACTGGTCTAATAGGGTGAATGGATGGTGAATGGATGGTACGGTCACTCACATGCAGTCTTTCTGTAGCGGCTGGTAGAAGAAGGCAGGGACACACTTCTCAAATATGGCTTTGGCTACAGTATTTCCTCTTTCCTGCATGAACTGACACCACAACATTTAAAGAGATTGATATGTAAAAGTTCTAACAACAAATTCCCTTCATTTCATATTGACGGATGCCTGCCTTGCAAAACAGGTGAATTGTTTGAGTTAAACCAGAAAGATTTACATTTAAGACAGAGCTTAACATTCTTCCTTTTATAAAGAAAACATGTACAGTCCAAATGTTGGGATCAAAGTATACTTTTAAAGATTTAACTTGTACAAAATAGAGCACTAACACGGTGAAGAACTTAGGATTCTAGACTTAAAGTTAAATGGATTAACCGTCACATGTGCTAACAATAGATTTTGAATAATAAATACAATAAATGGAACAATAGCAATTTCAATTCGAATTAAAAAAATATATAAAAATACTCATGGCATCAAAAAAGTTCACCTGACTTCTAATAAAAAATGTGTTTCAATATTAATATTGCCCAACTATTAAATGTTCACATATAATATTATGGATAAGATAATGCATAATATAATGCTTAAATTGAAAGAATATTCAAACATGTTAATAGATCTCTATACAAAATGAATACAAAGGTAAACCTCTACTAGTGAATCGTCCCAGTGATCCAGACGTATGGATTTCATTCTGCTGACAGCAGGCAAATTACGATGAATCCCCGAGCAGTTCAGGCACACAAAGATACCAAGAGTGTATGAGGCCCAGTCAGGATCTGTAAGAAAGAAAGAAAAAGGTTTACACTGTAGGAAGAAACTAAATACCGCTCTGATTGTATGAGAAGCAACTTCAGACTAGAATAGAGTACATTTGAAAGTGACAATCTTGTTCACAGTTTATTTTGTAAGTTTATGTGCACTAGAAATCTGTAGAACTAGGGAATATAAAAGTATTTCATGTATTGCTTGTCTCTCCCTCCTACACAGATTATTAACTGTCTGTGACAATGATTGTGGCAAAGTGTTAGAAGGAACAATGAAGTCATACCACAGAATATGCAGCAGCCACCACTTCCCCTTATGAAAGTTAATTATAAAACGTGACTTGGTTATAAAATGTAGATATCATTCTGTTAATAAACAACATCACGTGGCCTGATGCCGAAGGTTACTTTTTCTCATTCTTTTAACTTTAATAAAGTAAACATGGTCACTCAAATAGAGTTAGGGTATTTGACAGGACATGTATAGTTGGAAATCAGTCACACAACACAATTGCTATCATATAATAATAAATTGTGGTTATGAATATTTTTCAGCGTACTCACCAGGAACTCCACAGTCAGCACAAAAGGTGTTGCCTGGCTGTCGCACCAAATCGAACATGATTTTGTTATTTCTCTCCACACAGGCCATCAGTGAAGGTGGTTTGCTATGTCAGATTGACAGACTCCCAACAAAAGAGCTACTTGGTATTACCTCCATATTGATCCTACGCAGTGATTGTCACAGAGCTGCTCTGCATGGTAGCAGGTGAAAAACATGACTTCTTCTCACTGCCCAGTAGAAGCATTTCCTCTTAACAGCACAACATCATGAAGTTGATTGTTCTGCACACAAGCGCAGAGGTCCACAAATAACAGAGAAAGGAAGTGAAACAAACGTCACTGTGTAAAAGATTGAGTGTGAGAACGATAGACATTGAAATGTGACTTTGACTGTGTGGAGAAGTTATTTAAAATACATTTTGTTCATTTAAGAATATTTCATTTAGTCCATTTCAATTAAAAAGCAATTGAATGTAGGGTAAATATATAAAAAAAACATCTCTTTATTATAGAAGGCTTTGTAGATAAATACATTGAAGCATAACACAGTTTAATACCAATCTTAACAACCTTTAATAATAAAAGAAAATAATGTTATTACATAATAACCCAACTAGCCTAAGAATCTTCACCTGTCCTTATCTAAAAAAATAACATGGTCAGCCCTCTATCAAATTCTACTGACTTACAGTATGTTGTGAAAATGTGCATTTAATGGATTCTTTTGTCATTTTCTAAAACAATAAACCGAATTACTCTGCTGTCGAAAACATTACATAACTCTGAGGAAATGCTGTTCATGTGGCAATTACGACCACTTCTCAAACATCCAGATTTAGCAAAGGTCATATCCCTGACTACATATTGCAACACAATCCCCCAACCATTGTAGACAGGAAGTTAAAAGAAAAAATCTGAGCCTAAGCACTTCCTTTTTGCTGAAATGTATACGGTCAATACAGATGGCTGAAAATGTAAAGCTGCACTGATGTTTTCTGGCAAATATACGGGACAGGCAAACGGCAAAACAAGCTAATGGACACACAATATTTTAGTTCATATACAGTGGGGGAAAAAAGTATTTAGTCAGCCACCAATTGTGCAAGTTCTCCCACTTAAAAAGATGAGAGAGGCCTGTAATTTTCATCCTAGGTATACCTAAACTATGAGAGACAAAATGAGAAAAAAAAAAAATTCAGAAAATCACATTGTCTGATTTTTAAAGACTTTATTTGCAAATTATGGTGGAAAATAAGTATTTGGTCAATAACAAAAGTTATACTTTGGTTTCATCTGAACATATGACATTCTCCCAATCCTCTTCTGGATCATCTAAATGCTCTCTAGCAAACTTCAGACGCACCTGGACATGTACTGGCTTAAGCAGGGGGACACGTCTGGCACTGCAGGATTTGAGTCCGCGGCGTAGTGTGTTACTGATGGTAGCCTTTGTTACTTTGGTCCCAGCTCTCTGCAGGTCATTGACTAGGTCCCCCCGTGTGGTTCTGGGATTTTTGCTCTCCTTTCTTGTGATCATTTTGACCCCACGGGGTGAGATCTTGCATGGAGCCCCAGATCGAGGGAGATTATCAGTGGTCTTGTATGTCTTCCATTTTCTAATAATTGCTCCCACAGTTGATTTCTTCACACCAAGCTGCTTACCTATTGCAGATTCAGTCTTCCCAGCCTGGTGCAGGTCCACAATTTTGTTTCTGGTGTCCTTTGACAGCTCTTTGGTCTTGGCCATAGTGGAGTTTGGAGTGTGACTGTTTGAGGTTGTGGACAGGTGTCTTTTATACTGATAACGAGTTCAAACAGGTGCCATTAATACAGTTAACAAGTGGAGGACAGAGGAGGCTCTTAAAGAAGAAGTTACAGGTCTGTGAGAGCCATAAATCTTGTTTGTTTGTAGGTGACCAAATACTTATTTACCACCATAATTTGCAAATAAATTCTTTAAAAATCAGACAGTGATTTTCTGGATTTTTTTTCTCATTTTGTCTCTCATAGTTGAGGTATACCTAGGATGAAAATTACAGGCCTCTCTCATCTTTTTAAGTGGGAGAACTTGCACAATCGGTGGCTGACTAAATACTTTTTTGCCCCACTGTAGGTAGCTTAGCTAAAACTGTCTATTACAACAGCCCTTCAAAAGAAAATCTAAATAAATCTGTTACATGGTCATTCTGGAGGCTTTTTTTTTTAGCAATGTTCAGATTTAAAAAAATGAAAGTAGCAATACCACAATGTTAACATGCTTTGTCATATCCTGCATTAAAATATCCATTAGGGAAAGTTGCGAAAGCATTATCAGCTAAATGTACTTAAAGTATTACAATTACTTATTATGTAGAAGAGTAAGCAACATTTTCATATTAAAACTGATGAAAATGAAGAAATTAAATAAAACATGTATAATAAATATATAAAACACATTTGATAAACTATAGACCAATATTTGGAGTAAGATGTACAATATTCAGCAGTGTTGTAAAAATAAAAACTGCAGTAAAGTGCATCAAAAATGTTGCTTGTGTACAGCTATTGAATACTGTTGTATAGTAAGTTACCACATGAGCACCACATTCAACTATACACTCCCATACATTAGGTGGCACTATTAACCTTTAACGTCCATTTGCAATCCACAAGTAAAACAGAGAAGAAGAAAACCGGAACCATTGTCGCGTTGTTGTTCTAAGCCGACGTAACGAAACAGTCGGACAAAAGGGCAAACTCTTCAACCTGTATAATCATGGATGTATAAAGAGAGTATAATGTTGTAACAAAAACATATAAATATTTATTTTAAATAACGAGAATGTGGCTCGCCAGGCGATTTCTGTCTTCGGTCGTTCAGAGAAGTAAGTTGTAAAATGATGTCTGTTTAAATTCCCATAGTAGCAGTGTGATGCTAATTAAATGTAGCTAGTTGTCACAGTTGCAGGTTCTGTTGCTATTTCAACAGTTTTATATTTTTTAGACTTTTTCTTCTCGAGTTTTCACAGTGAATATTAGGTCAGGGAGATAACAGTGAGTTAACAGACACTCCGGCTTTCTTCTCACGTGTTGAGGAGTCAGCCTGTTAGCATTTTGGGTTTTATATGACACAGGTGGACAGAAAGTACAACTCCAGGATAGACATTTTAACATTCAAAATGTTTAATGTCATATCATAACACAACTACAGTATAGTGGTGTGTATGATTCTGATGATTATTTGCACTATTAAGTGTCATATCAGAAGAAGAGGAACCTTTATTGATCTCCCTCGGGGGAAATTCATTAAAAAACATTATGATTAAAAAGGCAATCAAAACTAATTGTGTATTTAACAAATACTTAATCTGAAATAGGAAACTGTATTTTTATGTAATTGTCTTATTACTTAACATGTCTAGCCCTTTTCGTATACAAGATATATGTTCTTGAATAAATAAATACAAAAATATATATATTCACCAGGGTTGGTTTGTGTTTCCTCTGCAGGTCAGTATGCGGGACAGTCTGGTTTATTCCATCGTCCTCGGCATGGCTGCCTCCCGAAGCTTGAGCCGCGGTACCTCCAGTGCACAAGTTGCTGGCAGAGCCGGGTTCCCGTGGCAGGCTTTGAGACCCTGAACGCCTCCATCACCTCCACCTCAGAGCCCTGCGATGAGGCCAATAGATCCCTGGATGCCTGCTACACATCCGATCAAAAAGACACCATCCTCCAGATGCTCAACAACGCCTCACCGTCAGAGCTGGCAGGCGTCAAGCTCCTCCGAGGCCGCAAGTCAGTCAACATCGTGGAGTACAGGACTAAAAACGGACCTTTTAAAACTCTGGAGAGTGTGGTGAACGTACCGCTGCTGAAACACAAAAGTGCTGTCACTGTGTTCAACTCCATCCTCAACCCCGTGAAGAGGGGGAGGAACGTGAAGATTCAGTTGGCCAAGTTTCTCAGGCCAGAGGTTGACAGGTCCTGGTTGGAGGTAAGGTCCTTGTGTATTTCCAAACACCTGCACTTGTCTTTACATGCATCACTGGCCTGAGGGTGCCTGTGGGGCACAGCTGGCTGAGAAACTCTGTTAAGTTATGATAACATATCTTATGGGATAAAGAACCAAATGGGCACAAAAGAATTACAGAAACATAAGCAAACACAAAATACCAAAAGAGAATCAAAACAATGAATACATAAAACATAACTTGGGATGCGGAAGTCACATAGATGACGAGAGGGACAAAATGACTGCCAAGTGCCACAAACTAGCATGACCACAAAAAGACACACGACTACAGAGGAACAGCAAATGATTATTAAGAGAAATAATCAAAGACTGAAAATGATGTCATAGAAAATCAAAAATACGTCTAAAAGACACAAACTACCACTGAGAAACTAAATGACTACAAAGGGGCGGGATACAAAAGGACTATACAAAGATGCTGCCGTATGTTGTGTCTGTCTGGATGTCATAGCACTGACTGTCTTATTTCAGAAATCAGGATCATTCACTGTAACTATCATGAATCTCTATTTGTCTGCTTAGGAGGCGAATGCAATTGTGTCAATCGTGTGCGGGGCTAATAAAATCGCCTGGGCTCATGTGGGCCGTGAGATGACGGTGTTGGATTGGCAAGAGGTGGAATGTCCACATTTCCTTAAGGGAACATACCTGGCTTCTGCTTACTTGAATGATGTAAGTATAATTACCAGATTTCCCCTGTTACAATTGAAATGTTACACTAGTTGATTCGTTTTGAGGAGAGAAAAATATATGAAACCTATTGTCAATTTGTTTTCCCTTTTTGTTAACATCTAGATGTCATTTAAGGCACACAAAAAGAACCCAAGTACTAATGCAAAATGTATACTGTTTCCTGTCTGCCTTCAGGTTTCTGCAGTTCTGAAAGTCCTCCCCTCAGCTGACTTTTACATAATCGAGAAATCCTCCATCTCGATGCAGAACACAGCTCTGTACCCGATCATGGCCCACATGAGGACTGTGGAGGCCATGCTGTTTTCTCTGCTGGAGCCGAGAAACTTAGCCCAGGAGTCCAACATACCTCCAAAGTGAGAGAATTACAACTTTACCAATATAAAAGCTGCCTAAATACTGTACAAACACACATGACCTTTATTGTGAAATGTGCTTTGAACAATGACTTGTTCCATAATGTCCCCCCTTGACTTCCTTCCTCTGCAGGGTGTTGAACATGATGCGTTCCGCTGTGGGGCGTCACTTTGAACTCATGGTGGGCGACTCGCGGGCCAGTGGAGCGCGGGTAGTGCGACAGCTGATGTCAGATTCGATGACTCAGGAGATCCCGAGGATAAACTTCCCCCCCAATCTGCTGATGAAGTACAGGAATGCTTTCCAGATGAGCAGCAAGGGCGAAGGAGAGGAACTCTGTAACGCTCTGCTCCAGGCTGTGGCTTTTTACGAACTGCTCAGGAAATCCTCCGCTTAGCCGCCACATGGTCTGATCTCATCCCAGGAGCCAAAACAAACCTGGGAGTAGAATTCTGAGCCTTTGTGGACTTTTAACAAACATGTACCTCTCGAACAGATTTGGGAGAAGGTGATGATACAAGATAATAAATAAGTTTGTTGTTACATGAAACACTCTTAATACTCTGGTTTTGGTATGCTTAGCATGAGGGTTGCTGCAATGTTTGGTTATTGCTGCAGTGGACCTTCATCATAAAGTAAATGCTGTCAAGATTATGCAATAACTTTTAGGAAAAACACTGCAATGATCTCAATGGCAACCCACATAAGTGCCTGAACACTCTTCGTTTAGAAATGATCATTTGCAAAAATTGATTTTATTTACTTTTCACAGAAATTAAACGTGATTTCTCATCAGCTGCATCAAATTCATTTGAAAGTAATTAGGTGGAGATTGTTATAAGTTAAATGCACAGAAGTAAAATACAACACTGACTGGAGTAATGTGAGGTTCTCTACGGGAAATCTTCTGCCAGGAGTTGGATGGTTGACTTTGAGAGGCCCAGGCGAGTGCTGCTGAGGTAGTTCAGACACCTACAGTGGGGGAGCAATCATTAGAGTTAGTCTGCGGGTCTTAAGTATTATTTGTCATCTGTCACACTGACTGCCCTGGTGTCACCAGTTTATTATAATGAAGTTAAGGGAACACTACAACCCAAAAATGGCCCTTTGTATTTACCATGATTTACTTACCATGAATTCTTAAATAAAACGTTTTCTAACTTGACTACACAGTGAACCAACAATCACAACAAGTAAACATAAAAAAGTATTTCAACACATCCATTCACCATCTCTTAAAACTCATACAATATAATCCAAGTCCTATGCCCACTCCCCCCCCCCCAAAACAATGTACTGTACATGCGGAAGTGGTTTTAATATTAAGACTAGCTGAAATGCGTATGTAAAGGAACAAGGGTGAGTAATGGAGATACAATAGATAACTTTGCTGGTGAGGTATTTCTTAATAGTAGATTTAATTTGTTAAAAACAGTGCTGTCATCAGTGCTAAATTATTAATCACTTGTGCTAAAGGTAGTTGGCCTCTTTAATTTAATTGATGTGTCCTGTATTGTGTCCGTCTCACCCGATTGGCTCCTCTTTCTGTTCTCTCTGAGACCGACAGATGTATCGGAGGACGGGCATGTAGTCCACACTGACGGCTCGTCTGTTCCCCAGCAGGCCGAAGGATTTACTGCCAAGCACTTTCCTGCTCAGCTCGTACCTCCGCCTGCACACACTGGAGGGAAAGACACATGCATAGTGTTGTAAACTATTTGTTTTGCTAACTTCATTGTAAACAAAAGACCCTAACAGTCCTTAAAGGTCCCATCTCATGCTTTTCTGGTTATTACCCGTCCCCTTGTGTGTTATGTAGCTTTTTCTGCATGTAAACGGTCTGCAGAGTCACAAACCCTCAAAGTACACCCTGCAGCGAGTAAAACTCTAACACAGAAAAGACCTGTCTATGCTGCCCCAGAACGCCTCGTTCCAAGGCACAC